CTTTTTTTTATTCCGACAATATATGCGCGCGAACGGTGTACCTATGTCGTCCATATGAGGCGCCGCGCCAACCCTGTGTGCTCAAAAATTATATTTTTGTGAATTTCAGACCATTCGTAATAAATTTTCAGTGATTATTGAGCCATTTTTCTTCACTTTTAGACTATTTTCAGTTGATTTTGGCTCATTTTTCCTGGATTTTGGCTCATTTTTCATCGATTTCCAGCCATTTCCAGCCGATTTTTCAACTTACACTCAAAATTCTGTGCTCCCAATCGGTGTGTGCCAACAATTCGGGAAGTTTCGACAACAGACGAACTAGATGAATGATTCCATACTCTTGCGAGTGTCTGAATCCTCGATCGACTACGGTATTCGTGGCAGCGTGCGCCGGTAGATTCATTTCCAACGCCTTCATTCGGATCAGCTCGAGATGTTGGTGTCTTTCTTGGTGGTACAGTAGTTGAACGCTGGAACTGAATAAATATCGTTTTAAATCGCGCATTTTTGATTGATTTATCGATTTTTCTAGGTGATTGTATTTCTTCACCGATTTTCCTTAATTTACAGATCAAAATTGCTAAAATTAACCCAAAAAAGCTCATTTTTAGAGATTTGTATCACTAGAAATCGCTCAAATTGGGCAGAAATGTCATTTTTTTGCAAAATTTTCGACTTTTGAGGGATCTTTTAAGATCGCTTTCCTCCTATTTCGAAATGTTTTTTCAACTCAAAAATTGCAAAAAAACTAAGCCACAATTTTATTTTTTTTTTCTTGAGTTTTCTGAAAGTTTTTAGGGCTACAAATCGCTATTGTAGAGGATTTTTCGAGCTTGAAATCACTCAAACTGGTCAGAAATGTCTTTCTTCGATTTTCAGGGATTTTTAGATCAAATTTATCCCCATTTTAACCTAGTTTAGGGTGAAGAATCCCGATTTTCGGTGTTTTTATAAACTTTTTCCAACTCAAATTGCCGAAATTGACTCAAAAATCGTCATATTTTGCGATTTTAGTAGCTAGAATTCGGTTAAATTCCAATTTTACACCTCAAATTCGCTAAAACTAACCCACAAACGGCATTGAAATAGTCGGCCACACCACGAGCGGTACAAATCATTGCCAAATTGGTGATACGGATGTCTGTACTGTCGTATTCGATGACCACATCGTCAATGTTCTCTAGATCCGCGTTTTTGGCCGGCAGCGTCTTGATGTACTGAAAAAGCGAAAATTTCGGTTTTTGAGCTGAATTTTGTGATTTTTAGCTGAAAATGGGATTTTTGAGCCGAAAATTGAGATTTTCGAGCAGAAAATTTAGATTTTTTAGCTAAAAATTGTGATTTTTGAGATGAAATTCGGGATTTTTTAGCTGAAATTTGAAATTTTTGAGCTAAAATTGGTGTTTTTGAACTGGAAATCGAGATTTTTGAGCATATATTTCTAGCTCGATAATCCGATTTTCAGAATATTTTTTATCAAAAATCACAATTTTCAGCTCAAAAATCCCAATATTTAGTTCAAACATCTCTATTTTCAGCTCAGAAATCTCATTTTTAGCTTGAAAATCACAATTATTTCAGCTCGAATATCGCACTTTTCAGAAACAAGATAACTGGTCTGCTAATTTTTGTAAAACTGAAAATTCGCTATTTCGGCTCAAAATTGATCAATTTTGATCAAAAATTCACGATACGAGCTCAAAATTAGCTTTGAAAATTCAATTTTCCGTTCATTTTCCCTCAAAAACGCTCACGTCAGTGATAATTCGATCGATAGAGTGCTCGGCAGGAATTTTACTGACGAATCCTTTCCGAATCGCCGTATAGTCATCGACAAGCATCGTAGCGAGTGCTGGTGGCAGTTCAAAGTTCGTGGAGACTGTTGGATATGGAAATCTCTTCCTTTTTGTGGATTTTTTAGTAGTTTTAGCAGAAGGAGCCGACTCGTCGTCAGAAGATGCGTATCTGGCTACAGTACTCTTTCTTTTTGGCGCTTTTTTGGATTTCGGGTCATTTGGAACGCCGAATTTCGCATGATAGTCTGTCAAAGTGCCCGGAAACATTCTGTCTTCTTGCTCTTCAAATCGAATCTTCTCATCGAAGCGTTTCGCCCAACCCTGATAGTGTACAATGTAGAATCCTTCGGAATCTGGCTTCTCGTGGACCGATTGAATACGTGCGGCGTAGGCACCACCGTTATAGATGCATACGAATTCTTCCTTCTCTTTGTATCGTTCGAGGGGCATCTGTTGGGGTTGGCTGGAACAAAAAAAATTTGAAAAAAATTTTTTTTTTGAAATTCAAATTTACGAGAAATCGGTCAAAAATGTGATTTTCAGGCGTTTTTTATAGTGAAAAATTCATACAGACCCTTCAAATTGCAAAAATAAGTGAAATTTTCAGAAATTTGAAAATTTTTCAAAATTTCGAATTTTTCGAAAAATCGCGCAAAAATTTTTCAGAGGGTTTTCAATTAAAAAAATTCATTTTTCTGGGTCCTTGGATCTTCGAATTGACATTTTAACATAAATTTGAAGAAAAATTGTTTTAAATTCCTGAGAATTTTTTTTAATTCTTGAAAAATCAATTTTTTATTTTTTTTTCCGATTTTTCGATTATTTCGATGCATTTTTTAACGGAATTCGTTTTTTTTTCAATTTTTCAATTTATTTTTTCAGAAAAAAAAGCTGAAAAATTGATTTTTTACAGCTTTTTTTGGAGTTTTTTTCATCAAATTTTCTTTTTAAACTCCCCAAAATGAGAAAAAAACAAAAAAAAATCGCTGAAATTTTCAGAAAAATTAAAATATTTTCAGATATTTTCAGCACGAAAAACCAACAAAAAACAAATTTGAGCCAAGGCTCCGCCCCTTTTGCTTTGCAAATCCCCCGCACACCTTTTTCGGGATTTATTTTAGTCGTTCCGCAAACACCGCGACGCGCAATTGCACTATAAATTTTTGCGACGTCACCCAGTTCAAACTACTCCGTTTTCAGTCGATTTTTCAGCTATTTTTTGAGATTTTCCAGATTTTTTTTTTGCAAAAAACGAAATTTCAGCGATGTCCGACGAGCGAATCACCGTTGTGAACAAGTGGGACGGACCAACTGTCAAGAATGGGCTCGATGAAGTTGTCAAGAAGGTTTTTGTCGATTTCGGGGGGTTTCAGCTCATTTTTCATTAATTTTCTTGCAGATTCTCAACGACAAGGTCGGATGGACGGAGCAGCACAATTTGATGAACTTGCGCCTCTTGATCTCGTTCATCGGCGTCGCTTTTTCGGCATTCGCTTGTGGATACGACTTCTATGCGCCGTTCCCGAAATCTAAGATTGTAAGGGAGGGAAATATGGATTTTTAGTGGAAAAAACCTTGAAAATCGCGGAAATTCAGGGTTTTTAGCATGAAAATTATCGAGTTTTCAGGTCAAAATAGTTTTTCTACGATTTTGAGGTTTACCTCGATTTCTAGACGCTTCCCCTGGTTTTGAACAGCATAGAATGCTCTGAAGGTCGATTTTTCTAGCTCAAATGCTTCAAAACGATGAAAATCGCCTAAATTCTGGATTTTAGTTTGAAATTTTCAGATTTTCAAGAAAAATGTTTTTTGGTTTTGAGCCTTTTCCAGATATCTAGACGTTTTTTTCAACTTTTAAGCCCAAAAAAACGCCTTCAGCCTCCATTTTTAAGCTTACAATCTTTCAATTCCCTCGTTTCCCACTCAAAAATTTCTATTTTCGCGATTATCAGGTGCTCCTCGTGTGCTCCGTCTCTTATTTCATCTGCATGGGAGTGCTCCAACTGTTCCAGTGGTACGTCGAGAAGGACTGCTTCTACGAGGCCAACGAGGTCGACGGAAAACAGACCCGTAAATGGGCGTGGAGCTCGGAAATCAAGGTAAAATTGGCTGAAAATTGCACATGCTGTGAGAAAAATGTCATAAAATGTGCAAGAAATCATGATAATCGGCTTAAAATGCGTTTTTTAGCTCAAAATTTCATTTTAAACCCAAAAAATAATTTTCTCAGGCCCACGACGACAAATACGTGCTCTCAGCGGAATTCAAGAAGGAAGGACGCTCAGGACAGGGAAAAATCATCAAATCGATCGGCGCCTATATCGATAACGACGGAGAGATCATGATTCCACTCGTTCAGAGGGAGGTCGACGATTTGTGGGCTCGTCTCATTCGCTCAGAACAATAAATTTGATTTTTCGAGAATTTTGAGCGGAAAAATCAGAAAAATCGATGGTTTTTTACCGTTTTTCTCTCTAAAATCTCATTTTCCCCCTCATTTATTATTTCCTCTTCTCTGCTTTTAATCACTGTCTCCATGGGTGGTCCTTTTCTTTTCGCATCATCTGTATGTCTGTCTGTGTCTCCAAAATCTCTCTTTTAAAACCAAACATTTTCAAAAATCCGATTTTTTTCATATTTTTTTTCCATTGCCGCTTTAAATATCTATATATATATATACATTTTTTAGTAAAAATGAGCAAAAAATCAGGGGGAAGAAATGTGAGTGAGGTAAAAGTGAGGGGTAAAATTACATGAAAAATAGATAACAAGGGGGGCAAAAAGAGACAAAAAATGGTAAATACCCGTAGTTAGTATTATTGAGTTTCTTGGGGGAAATAGGAGAAAATTCCTAATTATGCATACTATTCGTCATTTCCAGCTTAAACGGATCGCTAAACAACGAGGGACTTTGTCTGAAATTATAGTTATTTCCACTGGAAGATCCATTGACCAGCGACGGTGGATCCCAGCAGCCTCCCGGATCACCAGGATCCTCGCATCCTCTAGAAGATTCTGTGTTCGATCCGACGTCGTGATCGGCTTCCACAGCTGAGAGTTCCTCTTCGCCAGTGTATCCATGGTCTAGACGTCCGCCGGATAGAAGCGGGTGGTGCGATTGGTTTTGGAGAATTCTGGAAAAAGGGGAAATTTAGAAAAAATCGCAAAAAAATTGACTGAAAACGGTTGATTTTGAGCCGAAATAGTGGATTTTCGCTTTTTCAAACATTAGCAGACCCATTCTCTCGTTTCTCTGCGTCTCTCGTGGGTCTGCTAGTGTTT